CGAGCGCAGCGAGCCGTGATGGGGGCGAGCGAAGCGAGCCCCCCCATCGGCCCCCCCCGGCTGGTGAGGGGGCCTCGCCGGAGGCGCCGCCGGAGGCAGAAAATTTGGTGCATTTTCCTTTCATTTCCCGTCAAAATGGGCCCAAATGCGGCATCAAAAAGGGCTTGACTTCAGCTGCAAACATCGCACGGAATGTAGAAAAAAAAAAAAAAGATTAAGATTGATGTATTGTCGCGTATCCTCAGCAGTACCCTCCTTCGGTCTCTCCCTGTGTCTACTTCCCGGTTGGTTCTGGACATGAAAGCCAGCACTACGGCACTATGGATACAGCACTAGCGCTTATCTACCTCCCTACTACCTGCGCATGCAACGTGCAACCGAAAAAAGAAAAAAAACGAGCAAACGAGAAGGAACAAAAATTAAATGATCACTCATGGTGCTGTTGTCTGCTGTTTCTGCGCTGCTGTGCTGTGTGTGTGTGGCGTACAGGGGCTCCGTACTGCTGCGCATACCCTAAATTTGATTCACGGAGCCCCTAAGAAAACATCGGTCGGAACATCGGCACGAATTTTCGATACCGATATCGATATATATCGGACGATATATATCGTGTACATCGTTCCGATTCACAACTCTAGCGAATATGTTGTTAGAAGCGATTTGGAGGAATCGAAGCTATTGAGGGCAGCGGAGCGTTGCTAGCCACTTTCTGCGCTTCCCCCGCCCTCTCGACCACGTCCTTCGAGGACGCGACTTCAGCTCTCACGTATACCACTGTTGTCTCTGCGGCAGAGAGTTGTGCCGACTGAAAAACAGGAGAGGCGGTTCGCGAGGGGGTGAGAGAAAGAGAGGAGAAGGTCGTAAAATAACGGAGGAAAACCGATCCTCGGCGGGGTGCCAACACCAAAATCGAAACGAAGGCCCCCGGGGCAAGTTGTGCAATACATCGCCTGATAACGAGGCAAAATGCCCAGGGGAGTCTGCTTGCCCATCGCCCGTCGAAAGCTGACTTTGGGTTAGCGGGATACTCAAGGAGACATGGGAACTGGAAAAGAAGCGAGCAGGCTGGTGCAGTGGGCGGGAGAGCACAGCCATGGTCGGAAAAATTTCACATTCTGCACATCGAAGCCGCTGGTGTTTCTTTATCTCCAAGGTGGGCTCGAGACCTCATCCACTCTTTGACGGCATCCAGTACATGTCCAGACCAAACGAAAACGAAAATGGTAAAAAACAGTAAAAAACGAACAGGGTAGACAGCAGCAAATCTCAAACTGGAGGCAGAATGCATTGCGACACATAGCAAGCCAGCAGGAGTGCGATAAAAAAACGCAGTCAAGTCATGAAAACTGAAAAGAATATGGCAAGCGTCTCCAAGTGCTTGGCTGCTTGCGAACGGTGTTGCCTTTTGCAGAGCGCTGGTGGTGATATTGCTATTAGTTTGCAAATTGACGGCGTTGTTCAGAGTGCATTCTCAGGTCAGGCCGCCCCGTATTTTTATCACCCGGCGGGTGGGCTTGGTCTGTTATGGCACGTTGCGTACGCCCCTCGAGCCGATATTTTCTGCTACGATCGCCACATGGGCTGGTTACCCCGTTCTTTACGGAAATAGGTGAGGGGAAGGTGGACCGCAAAGGGAAGATGGATCGCGGGCTGCATACGTTTTGGATTTCTGTTCTCCCGAACAAAGAGCCAGGCCGGACTCAGACTACGCAAGCATCTTCCCTCCAGTCTGATGTATGGTCCGCCAGACCAACCCATTTCTCCACGTGTCCGAACATGTGGTCGGACGCTCGGCTTGTGAATACCGCCGGTTGGCATACACGGAGGAGGTACAACCGCTTCCTAGACGACAGCACCGCGACACGGACGTCGCCAGGACACTATCCACAAACAACGAACAACCTACCGGTACGTTTTCGGACTCTAACAGCAAGGAGGGAGTAAACTCGATCGGGAGGAACTTCGTGAGGTACAAGTAGGTTGATATACACTTGGCCCTTTCGGCACTTTGCTTTCACATTCCAGCAAATCGCACCGACCCTTTCCAGCCGTCACAACGAATGGCCGTCAAACTCTGCCCACGAGCTTGTAGTCGCCCTATGCGTACGACAAACAATTTGTAGTACATCGTTGATGCAAGCCCTGTCACAAATGTTCAAGCTTGGGAGGGTTAGGCCTACGGGTGGCAACCGTCAAAACAAGGTCCTGGCTTCGTTCGGGTGCGAGGTCGGTTCCTTTCTATGCGGTTTGTGTATAGTAGAGGCATCCTATGCTCGTTCTGATTAGCTTACTGGAGGAGCTAGCGTGAAAAAGAACTGTCTCCATTGACAGTTTCCTCCCGTTGGGCGTGTGTGTTTGGGGTCTGATTGTGTACGGGATTGAGGATAATGTACCCCAGGAGACGGTACTCCCCTGCGACTTGCCAGTAACGTGAGGACGTGAGGAAAGATGGTCTACAGATGCGCGTGTTTATGTAGTGAGGGAGCGCAGCAGGTTCGACGTAAATAGGAACGGTCGCCAAAAGACGATAAGCCTGCAAATTTCGGTTGAAGAAATACAACACCACACAACGCCGCCCCCCCGTGAAAAAGCGATAACTCAACATCATGACGTTCTCGTCGTCGCCCCCCTCGTGGTCTTTCCTGCAGCGACGAGCTTCCGGGTCACTGTTGCCGCCTCTCCCCATAAATATTTTATGTTCACCCAAACTGTTTTCGACTTCCATTTCGCTAAGTCGATTTCCTTGCGTGGTTCATGACCCATTGGTAGAGCATTTGCATAAAACAAAGTAGACGCTCTACCTGCGGCACTTTTGGCCATCCTGTTGGAATGCTGTCGATTATTGGCGGAATGTTTTCTTGCGCCACCTGATTTCAGGAAAAAATGAAATTATTAGTCCCAGCAACTATAGTTGATATCTGGCGGCCGCACTTCTCGGGCGAAAAGGATGGAGGTCTCGAATAGAGGGGATTTTTACGCTTTTACATACCGTTGAGGTTATCACATACTGTTTTGGGGGCGCTGGTCTTTTTGGCGATAGGGCAACGGCGATGAATTGGTGTGTGGATCGAGGTCTCATGTAGAAAAGTCTCTATTATGCCACCCCCACATATTGAAATCTACATCATCATGAGATTGTAGTTGCGACCGTTAGTGTCAGCTTTCTCGATGGGACCCTACTTCGAGCATCAGCCCCAACCACCCGCCACCCGTGACCCCCCTCAAGACACGACTCACTTCAAGTATTCGTTGTCCGCCTCCGGCCTTTTGTTGTCCGTCTTCATGTTCGTTATTGTGGTCGCCGGCTCTTCTGTCGAAGCACCAAGCCTACCGTCCATGTCTTTCATCGCCGTCGCCCATTCCCTCCTTTCTCCCACAGCCTACTCTCTTGCTGCTACCGCATCTTCTCTTGCAGCCACCAACCGTTCTCTTGCCCAAATCACCTCTTTCCTTGCAGCTGCCGCCTCCCCCCTTGCATAAACCATTGCTGCCTTTAACCCTTATGTGACTACACCCACGAATGAGGTCCGTTCCCAGCTCCGATGACTCTTTAATATGACATTTATCGAACCGAATTGAGCCCGAATTGAGCTGTGGATACCTGCGTCGACGAGGGCTGGACTGGACGAGTAGACCGTCGAAAAGGAACTAAATAACGACGGGGACAGCAGCAGTAGAGTCCCCTACACAAAAAAACAAAGCTTGGGAGTTGCAACGTTGCCGAGCACCCGACCCGCGCTGTGCAAAAGGGACCGCAATCCAGCACGCAGAAACGCGATAATGAGGCCGTTTTTTCTCGTGCTTCTAGCGATTTTTCGCACGAGCTCTATGAACACTCCTGCTGTGGATTCGGACTCGGACCACCAAGTTGTGTTCCGAGTTGACAAGAGACAGGAGCTAGCTCCCCCACCGAGTGCTTTGGGCCGGAGGGTACAGGAGCACATCGGTGGGCCTCAGGCGCTCAGCTTGAAGTGCAGCACAACATTGACACAAGGTGGGAGGGTTATCACCCCCTTGGCTGGAGCTGGTGTGCATACTGTAGAAGGGGATGGAAAATGCGGGTGGAACGCGCTGCGTGCGGGTCTGCAAGCTTGCCTGGGTAGAGCGAGGACTCCCAACGAGCAGCAAATGCGGGCAGCGGTTGCCCGTAGAGCCATGGAACATGTCGTCGGC